AGCGTTTATTTTTTACTATACTCTACTTAAACGTCTCTAAGTGAAATATACTTACATAGAGTAGTACTTAAAGCTTCGTCTGTGAAGAACCTTCTATTGTACTGTATTATAAATGATAGTTATATTTTTGTAAAAAAAAAAATTTACCACATAAATTCAATTGCATGGAAACCTAGAAGTCTTTATATAGTATAAATATTAGTCGATATACATACGCCATCAGAAATAAAATCAGAAATCACGATTTCTTTTTTTTTTGATTTGAAACCGCAATAAATTATAAATTTATTTTATTCTAATGCTAATACTAACTCTAAATAACTAATATAATTTTTATCATGATTTACTGTAAAAAACTCTGTACAAAACATGCATTGAGATGATCATAATTTTATTAAAAATTCTGTTACAAAACTTTCTTTAATCTGATTAAATTGGTTCATATTGGAATTATCTAGCCGTTAAAATTTTGTAATAAGACTTGCAGTGGCATAGAGTGTGTGGTTGAGTTGGTTTCTATTTGAACTATTGCGATTTCTACCATGGTTCACTGTAAAAATTCTTCTAAACTTATAGGCGATTGCGATAACGCACGTGGTTGAATTGGTGTTATATTATTAGCTATAGTTATACACAGAAATTAGTTTGTATTGGAATCATCATGGTTTCTAACGTGATTTACCGTAAAAAATTATGTTACAGAAACTTACCTGCTATTGTGATGACATACAAAACCCGTATTCGGACGAATATTCGCTAATGGTTTTCTTCACAAGTACCGAGATTTAAGATTGAGTTGGTTTGCATCGGAAAAATCCTGTAGCTCATCTTGAGTTTTTTCGGAACCTTGCGAATGTGTAGGAGAATCAGGAACGGAAGTCGGGATTTTTGTAGTTCTTGTACGTTTGCCTTTTCGTGATGTCTAAATATCGCGATTTCTACCATGATTTACTGTAAAATTCTGCTACTGGATTTACAAGCGATTGCATGTGGCTGAGTTGGTTTGTATTGGAGTTATATCATGATTTACCGTAAAGGATTCTGTTCCAGAACTTACTAGTTATAGTGACACGGAAATTAGTTTAATTGAAATTATTGTGGCTTTTAACGTGATTTACTATAAAAAATCATGTTAATAGAACTTACCAGCTATCGTAGTGACGTATAATATGTGGTTGAGTTGGTTATATCGGAATTATCACGATTTCTACCATGATTTATTGTAAAAAATTCTGCTACCGAATTTATAGGACACAGTATGTGGTTGAGTTATACGTGATTTACTGTAAAAAAAAACTCTGTTCCAAAACCTACTAGTATGCACAACACAGAAATTAGGTTATATTTGAACTATCACGGCTTCTAATATGATTTACTATAAAAAATTATGTAATGACATATAGTGTGATTGATGTTGAATGGTTTGCATAGAAATTATCATGATTTCTATGTAAAAAATTTTGCTTCTGAACTTGTGCTGGTCGTATTGGAGTTATTTATTGTAAAAAATTCTGGTTTAAAGCTTATTACTAGATATAGCGATTAGTTTGTATTAGAATTATCGTGACCTCTAACATAATTTACCATAAAAAATTGTGTTATAGAACTTACCCACTTTTGTAATGGCATTCAGCATGTATTTAAGGTTTATCAAAATTATCGCGATTTCTACTGTAAAAAATTCTAGCATGTTGTTTGGTTGGTTTGTGGGCAGTTTATATGATTTTTTTTATGGATATATAAAATGCATACCTGCCGTTTTAATGGAATTTTGTGAAAAACCTCTAGGTGCAACGATGAATTATACGTGATTTACTGTAAAAAATCCTGTTCCAAAACTTACTAGCTGTAATGACATACAGAAATTAGTTTGTATTGGAATTATCGCAGCTTTTAACGTAATTTACTGTAATAAGTTATGTTACAAAACTTACCAGCTATTGTAGTGACATACAGTACATTATGTGGTTGAGAGATTGTATTAGAATTATCGCGATTTCTACTATAATTTACCGCGAAAAAATTTTGCAGTAGAAGATTCTGTTTCAATTTCTCTTCCTTTTTCTATTATCCTTTTATGTTTATGGGTCTTTTTGGCCTTCGACTTTTTTGAACCAGCCATTAAACGGGCAAACTTTTTACTAGTCTGTTCTGCTCCTTTGTAATAAGACATTTATAAAATTTTTAAATGGTTTGAAATATTATGAAAAGAAATAGATTTGGAATATAGAGATTTCGTTTTTTGAATCACTTCATATATATATTTAGTTATTACTTACAGCTATGATGACATAGAAATTAGTTGTATTGAAATTAACGTGGCTTCTAACGTGATTTACTGTATATGGTTAAGTTGACGATTTCTACCATGATATACTACTATAGAAAATTCTGCACTTACTAGCCATTGCGACACATTTTCCCTTTAATGCTACTTCTTTTTGTGTTTTTCGGCATATTGGACAACTTTTAAAAGGTAATAAGTCTTACTTTAAAGGCAACAAGTTCGATTGCGATTAGAATAAGATCTGCACTGAGCGGTGTTTAGATAAGATTATAAATTACGTGCACACGTACGGTAAGAAATACTTACTGGCTATTGTAGTGACATAATGTACAATATTTAGTTATAAAATTGAGTTGGTCGCGATTTCTACTGGCGATTCTCTGTAAAAAATTTTGTATTATTGTTTATATATTCCCATTTTTTCTACGCATGTGTTAGTCACATCACTCAAAGGAGTTTGGTCGTAATTCTTCCAAGTGAGTCTTACTGTTACAAGGTCCGACTTTACAAAAAATTAGCTGGAAATATTTCATAGGAAATAAAAAGCAATATTGGACACGTTGAACAATAATTTGACTACCTTCTTTTTTTCTAAAAGTTTTTTTGCGCTTCTTTTTTGAGTTTCCGTCGAATTTTCTGAGTTGATATTACAGACTCTTGATATAACAGAGACTAAGTAAAATCTCGATATAACGGATCAAGATTCAGATCCACATCTTGATATAATGGATTTACTGATAAAGCGGATTTTAAAAAATTCCTCACTATGTGCCCGAGGTACTACGTTATACGTTATATCGAGAGTGACGTGTATATCAGTTACAGCTATTATCATAATTCCTGAAACACCTGATAAAAATTTGCCGAATGATTGTTTGGCCGATTCGGTTAAGTAA